TTTGGCTGCATCAGGGACTTCCAGGCTGCCGCTTGCTGGGTCCTCGTGGCCGAGGACCCATTGAGCAGCCTAGCTATTTGTCGGTCCGTTTTTTTTTTTTCCGTTTTTTTTTTTTTTCGGCAGGCTGGATAAATAGCTTTGGCGAGCAGTAACCGGCCCATGGGCTGTAGTTTGATGAACCCTGCTTTAGAATAATAGATTTGAAAACTGTAGATGCTAAGACCAGAAAAAAATTACCTTCAGAACAATTTTTTGTATTTCAGGCCCATTATCGTGGTTCTTCTAATCACCTTATGTGGTGATGTAACCAGCTCCAGAATCTGTGCTTTCTTTATTAAAAATAAGATTTGGACCCCTTGCTAAACATGTGCACTCCTAAAGATTGGTTGTCTTTAAATACGCAGCCCAAATTTCATTAAAACTGTCAATGAATACTTGTCCAATTGACAAGAATTTACATGCTTTTTTATGTGCATTTCATGCATCGTTAAAGTGATATTAAAGGCATTTTTTAACCTCTTCACGCCGGGAGCACACAAATGTGCGCCCTCCCGGCATCTGGTCCTAGACGCCGAGCGGCTGCACATTTGCGTGCAATTAACGAAAAACATATGTGCTGAGAGCGCGCACCCTGCGAGCTCCCAGCACACATGTCCAGTACTCACGGAAAGGTCCTAGTCTGATCTTTCGAAGCGGGACCTTTCCCGATCATGTGACCGCCGTGATGATGTGTCACGGCGGTCACATGATCTCTAAACCCCGCCCATCCAGCCTCCCGCCTTCTGAAATTCTTAAAGGACTGGGAGGTGCCGGTGGGAAGGGTTAAATAACAAACAAGTTATACTTCCCTGCTCTATGCAGTGGTTTTTCACAGATCAGCCATGATCCTCCTCTTCCCGGGTCCCTAGCCGTTGCTCCTGGCCCCAACCCCTCTCTGTCCTCACTTGCTCACTGACTGTGATTGACAGCAGAGGGAGCCAAAAGCTCCCTCTGCTATCTCAGCCAATGAAAAGAGAGAGTCCCTGGAGAGCGGAGGCTCTCATGCACAGTGCTGGATCGTGATGGGGCTCAGGAAAACATTAGGGGAGTCTGAGGGGGTGCTGCACACAGAAGGTTTTTTACCTTCATGTATAGAATGCATGAAGGTAAAAATCTTTAAGCCTTTACCACCACTTTAGGTAAATTTTAAAACTGATTCATGTGCAGTTTTTCAAAACATCTTCATATGTGTTTTTTTTTTTTTCTTTCTTTTTCTTTCTGTTTCCGATCTTTGTTTGCCTAAAGGACATTGTTAATTGAAAGAGTGCAAATAAAGAAAAAAAAGTCATGTGCCTTAGCTCTGTGGTGTTTTTTGAGAGGTCATCAATACCAGGATTATCATGTCAACATTGTTGTGTGCACTACTGCTGCATCAGCAATGGAAGAAGAGGAGTTCTAAAAGAGAAAAAAGTAAATGGGCATATGATGCATTTTAAAATCCAAAGGATAGGAGCAAGTTGTGAACTTGATATGCTGAATTTTAGGTCCATGAGAACAAGTTTGTTGAATATCAGTTAGAATTGAAGCTTTTGAATATCTTGAGGAATTTAGGGAATAACCTATTTTTTCTTTTTCAGCTGTGATGGGCTACCCAAGTGTTTGACTACACACCTTGAACAATGGATATTAGAAATATCAAATCTATCTAGTGATCTTAGAGTGAAAGCTGAACTCCAGGTATGACTTTTATTGCAAAGTATGCATATTTAATACCTAAGTGATCTCTGTGGAACTTGCAAATGATTGTAGCAGTTGCTACTACAGTAATAGCAGCAAATGTCCGGTTCTTGTGATAATAGACTTCCATTCTGCATAGGGGGTCACTTGCTTGACCCCACCACTATTCACAAAATGCCTTGCTGAGCAAGTTAGACTTTATGGTTGCTATGCAGAAGGGAAGCCAATTGACACAAGTACCAACTATTACAGTGATCTTCAGCTTCCACAGCAATCTCTCAGATATGAGATATACATACTTTTATTTGTCCAAGCTGGATCAATGTAGCCATGTGATAATAATCATATCTAGAGTTAGGCTTTAAATACCTTTTTTTTTTAAGTACTTTACAGTCAAAAGGTCTGTATTGATAAAACATAACATGAAACAGGTTTCTTTTTCTGAAAACAAGTGAGATCATTTCCACTGGGTTACCATCAGTAGCAAATTTTAATAATTTGTCATCCAAAAAAAAAATCTACATCTAGCAGCATAATGCTACAATGATCCTGCATGTCTGCCTGAAGTGAAAAACAAAAAATCTACCTTTCAAAGAACAAAGAAGTCTCCTGCTCTTAATTGGTTCTGCTGATTTACATCAAGCATGAGTTTGACCCAAACCGAGTTTTAATAGATGGAACAAATAGTCAGATATGACTTGTCCACACAAACCATGGACAGCTTCAGCTAGAAGTAATTAATTTAGTGATGGTATCTCTACAGTTTCACATTGTAAACAAGCCAATGGGGATCACAGTTGATGTCTTTGACCAGTTTGCCGAACAGATGAACCTAATGGCCAGATTCTGCTCATTTGAACCTCTGGCTACTGCAGCCAGAAGTCATTTGTTTAGTTGTGGTATCACTACTGCCACTAAATGACAGCATTCTGTCTGCTGACTTGTATAACTTGGTAAACAAACCAGCAAGGATCAAAGGTGATGTCATTGACCAAATATGGTCAGGTCTGTATTTGGTTAATTATGTCACCTAGGCCCTGGTCACTGTGTTTATATCCCAGCAGTATCAGGAAACTGACATTTGCAATGGTAGTAGCAGTGGGAGCAGGCATCCAGGGTGTTGTTTGTGATTAATGCTGTATCTATGCTGATGTTGGATTTACATTGTGGTACATTATTACTATTTTTTAATAAATGATTTTTTTATGGTGTCTCTGTGTTTATTTGCTATTGAACATTTTTTATTGAATGAGGAAAGAACAAACAGAGGGTGCACAGGCCTAGTGCATTACCATAAATAATGTTTAATAAGAAATAAAGTAGGTGTTGTACTCACAAATGACAATAAAGTCAAGGCACATCATAAAAGAACAGCTGGGTCAACACTGCGCTGAGTAACAGTCCGCAATAGGGAGTGTAGAGATCCAATAGGTGACGCGTTTTGAGGACTTGCCTCTTCCTCGGAGCCCTGAGGAAGAGGCAAGTCCTTGAAACGCGTCAGCCTATTGGACGTCTACCCTCCCTATTGTGGACTGTTACTCAGCGCGGTGTTGACCCAGCTGTTCTTTATGATGTGCCTTGACTTTATTGTCGTTTGTGAGTACAACACCTACTTTATTTCTTATTAAAATTTTTTTATGGTTATGCACTAGGCCTGTGCACCCTCTGTTTGTTCTTTCCTCATTCAGTATATTTGGATTCCCCCGGTCTATTTGAGGGCAGCAAGGTGTGCATGTTCCAGGACATTCTTAATGTGGTTGTAGCCTCCATTGAGTCCATCCCCAAGTGCAGGAGCATTTGTGTTTGCTGGTTCTTTGAAAATTTTTTGTGAATGAGTAGTGATGGTTATTCACATCGGGGAGGGCAAAATATTTTATTATTTCCAGATTCTGAAAAGTCAACCCCCCAGACTCCTACATCGACATGTAAGGATGAAGCCTTGTCCCAATCAACATGGAGACATGACGCCTTGCAGGGTGTGAAGCTTTGCTCCTCCCTGAGAGGTACCTTCCCAATGTTTAGGGCATATGGTCTAGTATGGTTCTGGAGTGAGCTGCACACTCACTATTCTTTGTTTTTCTGACCAGCCAGGCAGTATGCCTAGATAAGGTTCTATAATGGATTTTGGAGGACACCACATCGCAGTGGCATGGGGTCCCTGTAAAAATCCATATCAGACCCTTATCCAATGGATTTTTGACAAGAACCAAACACTATGTTATACAAACATTTTTGGTGGAGTACATTGTACTAGTGTGTAACTTCACATGCAGGTTTAAGGCATACCCAAGAATGTCATTTAAAGGAATTGTGTATTTTTAATGTTGGCCTTTAAGACACATTAAAAGACACATTCCCTGCTAAATTATATTTTTTACATTGCATTTTTGCATTGGTACATGTTCCTTATCTCAATACCCAGATACCGATGCCTTTTTTTAAACTAAAACTGGCAAACTGGCCTTAAAAAAGGCCAGACAAAAATTACAAGATTCAGCTAGGGTTTGAGCACTATGTTTGGGGTTAATGGATTTTCCACTAAATTCAATGAATGGCCAGTGAAATAATCTTTGCTCAGTTTGTTCATTTTTACTGATTACCAGTGATGAGCAGAGTGATTTTGGAGAAATTGAGTTTCCCAAGAAAAGTGTCAGAAGCAGAATTTCTGAGTTTAGCTTATCGAGATCCTCAAAAAGATGCTGTCACATTATAAAAATGTTTCACAAAAGGACATACCTAAAAAGTCAAGACTGTATACTTTCATCTCTTGCTGTCCATGACTCTGAACCTGTTTGGTGACAGAGAACCAATCTACTGGGAAACTGACATTTCAGGGCATGTTGATCCCTTATGGTTCTTTGTTACTCTTATGGGTTCCTGTTGTTGATCTCCACATCACTGCTGTATCTTTTAATTATGTGAAGGACAGTGGCAGTAATACTAGCAATATATACAGTCCTCCATCCTGACCTATTTCCAGGACACAGCAGGACACAGAAGGTTGTGCACTTGCCCCCCGCATTGCAGCATTGCAGGAGTAAGTGAGCCTCCTGGTTCAAATTCACTTCATACATCCATACTCTCTCTCTCCCTATCCCATTAGTGTTGCTGGAATAGGGGAAAAGACAGTGCGCTAAATCACATAGCACTCTTGCTCCTGCGATGCTGGGGATGAGTGCCTAACATCTGCCATATTCTGGAAAGAAGTCAGGATGTAGGAATGTAAATACTGGTATTATTTTCACCAGTCTACATAGCATAGAACCCCTAAAAGCCATCAAAACAGGGGCGGACTGACCATTTGGAAACTCGGGCACTGCCCGAGGGCCCGGGGTCAGTAGGGGGCCCCATGAGATGCCCCTGGTACCTTTTTCATAGGCTTTTTTGAGTTTGGGCAAGGACACAGGGGCCCCATGATCCCCTATTGCCTGGGGGGCCCATGAGTTGTCAGTCCGCCCCTGCATCTAAAACAACTTTTCTGCCATCCCTATTGATAGTGCATTTTCCTAAAATTGAATATTTCTACAGAAATCTCATGATTTCCTATGCCATTTTGGAGAAAGGAAAATCCTTAATTTCACTCTTTTCTGGTACTCTTATATACAAGCAAATGAAAGCAATAGCTATATCTGCAGCACTATTACTGGCTTACTTCACTACCTGTGTACTTTAGTGAAAAAATATTGAATGCACATCTCTTGTGGATGACTAGTCGAAAACACATTGATAGGAAAAAAGATTATTCATATACCAATGTTGCTGATTGTTTTACAACTGCATATTATAAATGAAGGCAAAAATGTACATTATTAAAATGCCTTTTACTGAACTTGAACATATTTGTATTATTACAAAATATATATATATATTTTCCCAAAATGTAGTTACACATAACAGGGCTCTCTCAGTGTTGCAATATAAAAAGCATGGAAACTTTCCAAAATTTTAAGTAGTATTTTTTGTAAAGAAATAAAATAGTACACTGCAGAAGTTGGACTTCAAGAGTCACAAAAATTATTTTTACATTTTACAGGACATGACAATAAAAACATTTCCCATATTTTAATAATTAACATTTTTATCACTAGGACTGTAATTCTAACATACATGGGTCAGACTGTGTATGAAAATAGGAGGTGGGAGGGGAGTCAGCAGATTTTGGGTAGAATCAGTAGATTTTGAGTAGATATTGGAGGACCACTGATACGGGATTGAATAATTGTTACAGGGGAATAGTGTAATATGCAGAATGTTGTCTTGAGAGTTGAGAGAGAGAGTTGAGCAGCGGAAGGGTTAAAGGTATTTGATGTAGATCTAATTAAAAAATGTATCAGACATTTAAAGTTTGCATATGTACTCTTGGTTCCTATTGTAATTTCTTAGTGACTATTGAATAGAATGCACAGATAAATGACAGGATATCGCTTTGTCTATTTACAGGGGAGAGGAAAGGGAGTAAAAATGACCGGATCGCTTCACTATATGAGTTCCACCGATCTCATAGATGCAGTACTAGAAATACTGAATTTTCTGGCATGAATGAAACTATGATTTTTGTCTTATATACGAGGGGCATTCAAGTCAAACTGGGACTGTTGAGTTTATGTAATAAAAGAACTAATTTTAAGTGGAAACTGCATTTATTTTTCAACATACACCACTGCTACATTTATACACTTATCCCAGTATTTAACTAATGCCTGGAATGCCTTCAGCATAGAAAGATCTGTCAGTACGCCTGGACCATCCTAGAACAGCCTGCTCATTTCATCATCAGCATTGAAATGCTGACCTCTGAGGAACTCTTTTAGGAGTCCAAACAGGTAGAAATCACTCAGAGTGAGGTTCCGGTCTGTAAGGGGGATGTGGCAATACTTCCCAGCTGAGTTGCTGTAATGTGCGCAAAGTGCAGTGAGAAGTGATGCAAATGTTCATGAATGATTGTGTTCACTGTTCCCACAGAAAGAATAATCTCTTGTGCAATTTCACGATAGGTAATACATCAATTATCCAGGATCAAACATTGCACATGCTGAATGTTCACAGGAACGACTGCTGTGGGCTGGGAACCCCCATGGCTGGGATCACCACTGATGGACATACGGCCATCTTTGAAATTTTTACACCATTCAAATGTCTTACTGCGGGCGAAAATCTTATCACCCTACTGTGCTTGAAGTCTTCTATAGATATCCAGCAGTTTTACTCCTTCCTTCATCACCACACGCTGTTCCATGCACGCATTAACACTGTTGTCTGCCATCTTGATTAACAGTCTCTGGACTGGCCTGTGACATGTGCATCGCCTATCAATAATAGAACATACTTGCCACTTACTACTGCATGTAGTACAGCCACACTAGCATCCCTTTTATACCTGTAAATTATAAGTCCCGATTTGACTTGAATACCCTTCATAGCAGCAATCCAAATCCTAGAATAAGTATCATTAGAGGTAACTATATTTTTTCCTAGAGTTCTAATTAACACTATGCCTGAAGTCTACTTGCAATGCCACAATTTTCACAACTATGTAGGAGTAATAGATTAAAAAATCATATTCAAGTTACAGGAGAAAAGGGGCGGACTATCCATTCGAGCATTACGGCATTGCAGAGGGCCGGGGTTAGTAGGGGGCCCCATGAAATGCCCCTGTTACCTTTTTATAGGCTTTTTTGGGTGTGCTTTGAGTGTGGGCAAAGACACAGGGGCCCCATGATCCCCTATTGCCCAGGGGCCCCATGAGTTGTCAGTCCGCTCCTGAAAGAGAATAGCCTCAAACGAACCAAAGTTACCGGAGGGATCATCAATTCAAGAGTAGAGACTGTGTATTTAGCAAAGTGATGTTCACATAGTTAAGTAAAGAAGGTGAACACAGCTTCATTTTGTTCACGTGTTCAAGTGAACACTCGGTTTGCCAAGTCAACATTCTCTACTCATAATAAATCAAACCCACAATATCACTTTCCTCAACCAATGGAGAGCAGAGCCTTAAAATAAACCTTTAATGAGACACCATTACTTTGATTATATTGGGAAAGGTGGGGGGGCTCAAAGTGACGATGCCTCTTTAAGAGTAGCCATCTTGTTGTAGTGAATGCATTTCAGGGTATTGCTGTACCGATTGGTCTATGTGGTAATGAGCCTTTTTCTTTAAGAACTATCTTGGTAGTACCTCTACTCAAACAGATCTTGCATTAAACAGGGAACTCTCAAATGAGAAATTATATAACAAATGGTTTAATCACTTACTGTATGTCCACTGGATCTATTGCTATAAGGTAACTGTGCACTTAAAAGTCAAAGGTGATATTTACTTGTCTTGGGTATAATCACATAAACATGTCATTTTTATTTTGCGTAGTCACCCATGTATACATCTTGCATTATATACAAAATAGCAGGAGCGGTGCCTCAATCTATGTTATATTACATGAAAAACATGCTATAATAATGAACACATAACAAAAAATTGTGAAATCAAGTGAACAAAATCCCTTTTGCATCCAGAAGGTGATAAGTGATCTGTGCTCCCCCCAGGGGTGGACTGACAACTCATGGGGCCCCTGGGCAATAGGGGATCATGGGGCCCTAGGTGTCCTCGTCTACACTCAAACCACACCCAAAAAAACCTATAAAAATTACCAGGGGCATCTCATGGGGTCCCCTACTGACCCCGGGCCCTCGGGCAATGCCCTTGTGCTTGAATGGCCAGTCCGCCCCTGGCTCCCTCTCACTCACCAACTTTAATAGACTCTTATGGTGAAATAAGAGTCTTTCACGCTTTTGGTAGGGCATAAGAAGTCATGCTGGTGCTTGTAGTCCTCAGAGGATGCCCAGCGGGTGGGGCGAAATGCATCAGGCATGGATGTGGTGATACTAGCTTAGTAGCTCTGTGGATTACTAGCAACCTACTATTGTACACTTGGAGATTCATGCCTATTGTATCTGGAAACATGTGAATGAAATACTAGTGTGTCTGCTTTTACTAATAAACGGAATTAGAGAGAAAACAGGTAGCGCACACACCTAGTGCATTATCCAAGGTTTATTGTAGGAATGAAAAATAATAAAAACATACTCACAGACGAAGCATGTATCTAAAAAGCATAGAAAAATGACAATGGCCACAACGGCGGGCAAGGTGTTCTCACTGTCAGTGCGGTCAAATTGCTGATGCGTTTCGGGGACAAATCCCTTTCCTCAGAGCTGATGACCAACCTCTGATGCTGATGTATGATGTATGGACAGAAAGAGCCTCGCTGTTGATGCTTCGTCTGTGAGTATATGGATAATGCACTAGGTGTGTGCTCCACCTGTTTTCTCTCTATCCAGTGGCTGATTTCCCCATCTGAGGAGGGCTGCACCCCTGGAACATTTCCTTTGGTTGTCGCTGTCCTGGTACCCTTGGCTTCCCTTTTGGCTTTGTATATCCTGAGGCGCTGGAGAGTACATATAATAAACGGAATTTTGGATGCCTCTCTCCATTCCTTACATGTATATACCTATCGGCTTTACATTTGAATCACTGGAAATGACAAGCAACATGTAATCAAGAGGACTACAAGCTCCAGCATATTTATCGGCTCTATATTTGAATCACTGGGAATGACAAGCAACATTTAATCAGGAGGACTACAAGCTCCAGCATAACTTCCTATACCCCATCAAAAGTGTGAAAGACTCTTATTTCACCATAAGAGTCCATTAAAGTTGGTGAGTGAGGGGGCACACAGGCAGGGAGCACAGAGCACTTATCACATTCTGAATGTAAAAGGGATTTTGTTCACTGGGTTGATTTCACATTTAGGACTTTATTTCACAATTTTTTGTTATGTGTTTTTATTGCATGTTTTTCATGTAATATAACTTACATTGAGGCAGCGTTCCTGCTATATTGTGTATTATGTTGATAAGGCTGTACCTTTTATAAGAGCAGCAGCCCAGTTTTTTGTTTAATATTGAGTGTGCACTATTGATTGGTGTGTCCTAAGCGCAGGTGATCATTATCTATCATACATCTTGCATTGTTCACAATAAATATCTTTCATAAGGTTGCACAAACAGAAGGAAAATGAGTGATAACATTTTTTAGAGATAATAAATATTGGACAATAAATGTCACGTAGTATATACAGTATAAATACATTTGAATTTTTAGGGACACTATTTGCATATATACTGGGACACATAGTTAGCACAATAATATCTTATTATTTACATCATGGATATGTTATTTTTCCTGCCAAGATACAATGTTCTAAAAAAAACAGTTACATGCAGGATTTTTTTTAAAACTATGACAAAATAATTTATTTCATATTCACTATGATCTGAGCCTTTTTAAAATTACTGTATTTCAATAATAATCTTTAGTGTATAATAGAGTAACAAGATTTGCTGGCTTCACTGAGGTTAAATTACGTGTTTCAAAATGATGCAAGAAATTAAAAAAACTAATGTATATCTATAAATTCACACACAATATCGAATAATAAAAAATGTGAATGTTAAATAATTAAGTGTGATTTAAATATTCATATGTTTTCAGGGGGCAAGGCCTTTTCATCTACTTTCAGCAGATACATCCCGCTAACGCTGAGGATTGTTCTTGCTTTATTCGGTGGAAGACAGGGAGATGGAGAGACAGGTGGTTAATATATATCTACAATATTCCATCTTGATAAAGTACAATATTATAAAGATCTGATGCATATGAGCCAGCTTTAGGCAATATTAGAAACATTAATTCCATTTGACTAATCTTAATATATATTTCATATGTCTCTGTCCCTCAGCGTAACCATATGGGAGCCTGTCCTCGGTTTTAGGTGTCTTTTCCTGGTGTCATGATATAAAGCTTTAACTACAAAGCAAGAAAGTTTAAAGGGTCTGGGGAAAGGAATGTGACTGTGGGTTTATTTAGTGTGCAGAAAATCTTCTAAAAGATGTTATAAAGTATAAAGTGAATCCCTCTGGACCATTTCCAAAAAAGGGTTACTATTAAACTTCAGATAAGGGGTAAGGCTCAGGTCATTGGATGGGACATATTTCCAACTGCTGAATGCATCTGAATGGAGCCCCCTAAGCAGGTCTCTCCATTTTCAGGACCCACTGCTCCTGTTCTTGCTGCACCTGGGCCTTATCTTCGGGCATTGCTTGATCTGTCATTCTCTTTGCTCAAATCTTGTCACATGGCTTCTGCTGGAGCCATTTAAGGGGAAAATTGATTTTAACCACTTGACCTCATGAAGGTTTTACCCCCCTTCATGACCATTGCATTTTTTGCTATTCAGAGCTGCTCTACTTTAACTGGCAATTGCTAGGTCATGCAACATTGTACCCAAGCAATATTTTTATTTTTTTTCACAGAAATAGAACTTTATTTTGGTAGTATTCAATCACCACAGGATGTTTTATAGTTTTTTCTATATAAATTTAAAAATAGCAAACATTTTTGGAAAAAAAGCACATTTTTCCTAGCTTCTGTTCTAAATTTTTTTTTGTCTGTGCGAAAGTTATAGTATGTACAAAGTATGGTACGAGAGGCGTTCAAGTCGAACCAAGACTTTTAAATTTTACAGGTAAAAAAAGGGATGCCAACATGGTGGTACTGCACACTGTAGTAAGTGGCAAGTGTGTCCTATTACTGTCGCAGGTCAGTCCAGAGACCATTAATCAAGATGGCAGACAACAGTGGTAGTGTGCACATAGAACAGCTTGTGGTCATGAAGTTTCTTGTGAAAGAAGTCCTAAAACTCACTGATATCTACAGAAGACTTCAAGCACAGTACGGTGATGAGACGCTCAGCTGCAGTAAGAGATTTGATTGGTGTAAACGTTTCAAAGATGGCCATATATCCGTCAGTGAAGATCCTGGCCATGGTGGTTCCCAGCCCACAGCAGTCATTCCTGTGAATATTAAGCATGTGGAACGCCTGATCCTGGATATCTGATGCATAACCTGTTTTGAAATTGCACAAGAGACAAATGTTTCTGTGGGAACAGTAAACACAATGAAGACGAATCGAAGCAGTCTGTCCTGAGATGGTTCAGGCGTACTGACAAATCTTTCTATGCCAAAGCTTTCCAGACATTAGTTAAACAGTGGGATCAGTGTATAAATGTAAAAGGGGAGCATGTCAAAAAATAAATGCAGTTTCCACTTCTCGAAATTTGTTCTTTTATTATATAAACTCAAAAGTCCTGGTTTGACTTGAATGCCCCTTGTATAAATGAAAATTGATCAGTTCTGCTGTACTGATGATCTGTCTCATTTCACGAGGCCCTAAAATGCCAGGACAATACGTATACCCCACCAAATGACCCCTTTTTGGAAAGACAGTCCAAAGTGTTTAGTAAGAGGCATGGTGAGTTTTTGATTTATTTTCAGTTTTTTTTTTACATACTGTCACCAGTGCAGTACAGTGTCATCATATGACTGGTGTGACAGTGATCAGTAATACTGACTGGTGACAGTATATATAAAAAAAAAAAAAATGTATACAAAAATATTGAGACACCCATCCAAATCATTGGATTCAGGTGATCCAATCACCTTCATGGCCATAGGTGTATAAAATCAAGCACCTAGGCATGCAGACTGCTTCTGCAAACATTTGTGAAAGAATGGGTCACTCTCAGGATCTCAGTGAATTCAAGCATGGTACTGTGATAGGTTGCCACCTGTGCAATTTCCTTGTTACTAAATATTCCACGGTCAACTGTTAGTGGTATTATAACAAAGTGGAAGCAACTGGGAACAACAGCAAATCAGCCACGAAGTGGTAGGCCATGAAAAATGACAGTGGGGTCATCGCATGCTGAAGCACACAGTGCACAGAAGTCATCAACTTTCTGCAGAGTCAATAGATAAAGACCTCCAAACTTTGTGTGGCTTTCAGATTAGCACAGCAACAGTGCATAGAGAGCTTCATGGAATGGTTTCCATGGCCAAGCAGCTGCATCCAAGCCTTACATCATCAAGTGCAATGCAAAGCATCGGATGCAGTAGTGTAAAGCATGCCACCACTGGACTCCAGAGCAGTGGAGACTTGTTCTCTGGAGTGACGAATCATGCTTCTCTGTCTGATGGATATGTCTGGGTTTGGTGGTTGCCAGGAGGACAGTACTTGCTTGACTGCATTGTGCCAAGTGTAAAGTTTGGTGGAGGGGGGATTATGGTGTGGGGTTGTTTTTCAGGGGTTGTGCTTGGCCTCTTAGTTCCAATGAAGGGAACTCTTATGGCGTCAGCATACCAAGACATTTTGGACAATTTTATGCTCCCAACTTTGTAGGAACAGTTTGGGGATGGCTCCTTCCTGTTTCAACGTGACTGTGAGCCAGTGCACAAAGCAAGCTCCATAAATACATGGATAAGTGAGTTTGGGGTGGAGGAACTTGACTGGCCTGCACAGAGTCCTGACCTCAACCCAATAAAACACCTTTGGTATGAATAAGAGTGAAGACAGCTAGACAGGCCTTCTCTTCCGACATCAGTACCTGACCTCACAAATGTGCTTCTGGAAGAATGGTCAAACATTCCCATAGACACACTCCTAAACCTTCTGGACAGCCTTCCCAGAAGAGTTGAAGCTGATATAGTTGCAAAGGGTGGGCCAACGTATTATTGAACCCTACGGGCTAAGACTGGGATGCCATTAAAGTTAATGTTCGTGCAAAGGCAGATGTCCAAATACTTTTGGCAATATAGTGTATATATATATATATATATATATATATATATATATATAATTTTTTAAACATTTTTCTTTTTTTAACTTTTTTGTCTTATTTTACTATTTTTTTTCATTCTGCCAGCAGAGTAATTCAGTGTCACCCTAGTGACACTGTACTACTTTTTTTACATTGATATTGCTTATAACAGTGAAGTTCATTGTTACAAGCAACAGTTTTAGCTGTCATGAATGTGTTCCCATTCATGACAGCTTAGTTACTGTTGACGTGCTGTGATTGACTACAGCTATATAGGCAGCCAAGTACCATGTGATAGCTGTGAGTAATTGGAACCCCATTCTTAACAGTTTGCTTACATAAATATCATGTGATTGCTATGATTGGTATCAAGTGATCCAATGTGTCCTGTACATTGCCTGGGGCGGGGGGCAAGTGGTTAATCGTTCTGAATAGTGGGGTTTGAAACTTCACTCCTTGACAAGTAAATGACCTCTCAGTGACATCATTTGTGTATAAAAAAGATAACGAATTCATTCAAATTGGAATATAGAAAATGAGAACAATATGTTGTTGTTAAGTGCAATCAGTCAATTTATGATTTGTTTTTTATTTCATTTTATGGAGAAAGAGTTATGATTGGTCACTGTGTGCAACAACTTCACTTTTGTTTTCCTTTTCTCTTCTCCAGTTTAAGTGAAACAACCCTTTGTCTGAGATGGCTCCACTGTTTCACTCCAAGGGTGCTGAGAATTAGAGAGATGCAGTCAAAGTGAATCTGGCTGTCCAAGAGAATTACTGCTCATCACAGTGATTCGAAGGGGCTGTCAACAGCTGTGCTCTGAAACAGTGAATGTATTGTGACAATGGAAATGACCATTTTTCCATAGGCTTGCTATCAGTGAATGATTTTGCTGTTGTGGTGAGTTTAACTTAAACCTTACCTTGCAACTTTAGGGGTTTATCAAAACAGGAAATGGTTATTTCAATTTGTTTTTGGACAATAGCTTACTGCATTTCTTGGACATCTGTTGGGATCTGGGTTTTTGCCAACAGTGGCGGCGTTCCTGTTTTTCAGGGCAAGTATATGTCACTTTCATTAATAATTAATAAACCACAGTGGCTGCTGCTTTCCTGAATAAATGGTGTTTCATGTACCTATTAGATCAAAGGTCTTGAATGTGTATGTTTATTATTTAGTTTTCTACTCCATTACTATTAAAAGGACAAGTTTATTAATTTTCTGAAAAAAACACAGCCACCTTCCTACACACTTTCAGTCATTTCAGTGGTGATAAAACATTCCTTCAGTTGCAAACAGATAAAAGCAGAGAGTCAAGTCAAGGAGCAGCCCTCACTTTTAGGGGTTTCGCCAGAGTCCTACATTTCATACCCAGAGAGAAGTGAGTAGTCCTATACTCCAGCACCTCTACATCCTTGTTGCTCCCCTAAGGGGAAGCTCCTAACAGTGAAAACCTCAAACATTACATCTTTGCTACCTTGGTCCTTGCACTTCATTGACTAACCAACAGCCAGATGGACTCACACAAGGCTATTTTAAAGAGCCATCTTACCTATGATGCCCCACACTTGCAAGAGCAGGGCTGGAATCTCCTCACTATGTATGGTATACAGGGGCGGACTGACCATTTGGAAACTCGGGCACTGCCTGAGGGCCCGGGGTCAGTAGGGGGCCCCATGAGATGCCCCTGGTACCTTTTTCATAGGCTTTTTTGAGTTTGGGCAAGGACACAGGGGCCCCATGATCTTTTATTGCCCTGGGGGCCTACACTGGGAATCACTTTGTTCCTATCATACTTATACCTAGAGCCACACCTTTTTTTTTTTTGGGTAGAGTAGGGAGGGGTTGGAAACTTCTTCAGATGTTTATTACAGTCTATCTCAGCACTGGGAAAGTTCACTCACTATATTTCTCCTTGTGACCTTTGATGCAAGGGCAGAAAGTGACAAGAAATTCAAAATCTTATGGTTATCCCTAAAACAGGTAATACATTATGTAAGTAAGAGACAGAAAATGTTCTAGTGTGAACACATACACCTACTCTATCCAAAACCTAAAGAGAATGTGGGGTTTAGATATACTTTATTAGGTATATTTTGCTTAAAACGATTAACTCTTTATAATGTTTACTGTTAGACTTTACCAGCTCATGCCTTTTATAAATTCTTCTCTCATTCCAGAAGATATGTAATAAAAACAAAAAGTATGGGTTTAACTAATGACAAAAAAACAGAACTTCTAATTGATCTGTTTCAAGAAGTCTTACTGCTACGAGATGACCTTTGACACACTGTAATCCAGAATTCACACCTCTGAGGCACAAATCAAGAGTCTGTCTGGAAATTAATTGGCTGCTTCCTCATAAAGCCACATGGGGGAATTTGGAAAATGTTCCTTATATTTTAATATTAGAACATTTTCCTCAGTGGTCCTCAGTGGTATCTTAATAGGTTTGGTGATTTTTCCTACTAGACTTGCTATCTATCCAAAATGTGCAACTGAAATAAATTAAGTAATTAATTGCCAGTAAGGTTTTGAGACTCACAGATAAAGTTTCTGGGGGTTAATGTATTGGTTATCATACTGAATTTGTGTAGTCACATATGATTCATGAAAAGTGTTACCTTCAAGATTGTTAAAATTTAAAAAATGTAGAAAATTATATAAAAAATAAATTATGTTTAATTTTGTCAGATTTTCATTAAAACTCATTGTAAAAGTTTAAACGTGGTACTTTACTCATGGTTGTAACTCCTACCAAGTTCTGCCCAAATGATAGTCTAAAAATTAGCTGAAAATATCAGTAGTCAAGGTATTGTCCGTAGCTGCCTGCTTTCATTGCTAGAGTAGTCCAACCTGGGCTTGGATATTTTTTAACATCCATTTCCACTGTGAAGATAGGCTTAATGCCAAACACAAAGTTTTTTTTTCCTGTTGTGGATACTTGAGGTAGAGGAAAAACATTCTAAAATTTTATTTCTGGCTGTGATTCCATTGGAAGAATTATCACTCCCTTATGAAACTAAGACTAGAAATGGAGGAAGCGATCCTCAGTGACAGGAAGACCCAGACAGCAATAAAAACATTAACCTTTTCGATACTAGAACCGCTTTTGCATTTTTTGCAAACATGTTTAAAAAATCATTTTAGGCCAGATTACACAAAACCCCAAATATTATATATTTTCTGAAAGCAGAAACCCTAGAAAATAAAATAGTGGTACTTCCATTATTGCAAAGGTCTAGCAAAAGCAAAATTTCACTAAAAATCACGCTAAAGTAAAATTTTAGGGAAAACAAACGCAATAAATTACCCACATTTTTGGTAAAATATCAAAAACAAGGTTGTGCCAAGTAAATAGATACCCAACATGCCAAAGCTTAAATTTGTGTGTGCCTATGAAATGGCGACAAACTTCAGTACCCTATATCTTCTATAGACAGCGCTTCAAAAGCCCCTAAAGATCATCAGTTTAGTATTACAGAGGAGATCTGGTGCTAGATTTATTGCTCTCACTCCTGTGTGCATGGCAATATGTAACGTGTGTATCGCAATCAATGTTTTCACGCATAGGTTCCCCAACATGTGCAGTTTTGTTCGTGTGTTTGTATATATGTGAGGGTGAGGGGGGACCTCAAATTTTTTTTGGGGGGGTTATGTGCTTGGGTGTAACTTTTTTTTTAACGTTTTTTTTCATCCCATAGGGAACACAAAGTTCCCTATGTGATGATTTTTTGTGACAGATTCTCTTTATTGAGACATGCAGGGTCTAAAAGACCCTACATGTCTTCTCTGTGATCCATTAGATGTATTGCAGGGAAAAGTGACAGCCTTGACCTGGAAGTGACGTCATGGACGTCGCTTTCCAGTTCACACAAATAAGGGGAGAGGAGCAGATGTTTGTCCACTCTCCTCCCCCCCCCCCCCCCACCTGCCAGCACCTGCCATTGCTTTCCCAGGCCCCCAGGCCCGCAGATGGGCACGCGGAGTTACAGGGCGGGGGTGCATCCATGATGGGGCATCGGAACCAAGTGCTGTAGAAGCAATCGGCGGCAGCGAATGCACCTGACTGCTTCCACCTGACAGGCAGGAGTCTGCCTGTCAGTCTTATACACAATCCCGATGGCTGTAGCCACTGGATTGTTTATAAAACCCCCTGTGGCCAGGTCCATACAGCTTACGGACCTGGCAGTGAAAGGGTTAAAGGAAACTGTAACCCTATCTCAAAATAATAAAAACCTATTTTTATCTGTGTCTCCATTAGATAGATTTTCCTTTACTCCCTGTTCTGATGGGCAACAGCTAGCTCCCATTCATACATTCATCTGTGAGGCCAGGAGCTGTCATTTGTGAAGTCCTTTGAGCGAAGATCATTTTTTTTTTTGGCGGTTTTTGTTTTGTTTTGTTAAATGAAAGACCTTTTGTCAGTGTTGCGTGTTTTTTTTACCATTTGATTTTTTTTCTAATTCATTAACCATGGGTGGGGTGATGGATATCTAGGGGACTTATGATGCTTCAGGATTCTGATAACCCACATTCAGTAGGTTTAGGTTGAGGAGAAGAGGTCTTTGTCCTCATTAACATGGAGTGTAGGTGCTTTGCCAAGAGGGAGCTCTGTCCTGTCTTTCTTTTTTTGTTTTTTGAGGGGTGGGGTTGCCCCTTATAATTAAAAACTAGACTCTCATAAGAAAAATTAAAAAGTGGGGTCCCATCCAAAATCAATACCACACCCTTATTCTTGATAATGATCTGGTGTGGATTTTTAGGAGGACTCTATGCAAAAGGAAAACAAAAAAAAAGAAAATGGTGTAGGGTCCCTCAAATTCCATATCAAATCTTTTGGTCTGGCATGGTTATTAAGGGGGTAAAAAAAGAAAGGAAAACCTGCCCCCCCCCCCCCCCAAATTATCAACAGACTGGTATCCAGGCATTAGCCTGGCTGGCCAGAGAAAAGAAAGTAGCAACTAGGTTGTACCCCCCTCCTGAACCATACCAGTACACATGCCTTCGACATGGGGGGGGTACCTTTGAAGGGGAATGTCATGGCAAAACACCTTATCACTATATTGATGAAGACAATAGACTACTCTCCACATCCCTAGCACAGTGGATATGGGAGTATTTGGGTGGGGACTTATTAAATTCTGGAAGCCCCCTATAATAAGTGGACCCCCAGATACTTTCACATCCTATTACCCTAGTTTGTTTTTTTTTTTTACTAGTTAATAGGTAATTAATCCAAATATGGGATTAATTAATTCAACAGAGAGCCTGTCTTAACGTGGCCAGGCTTTAAACATTCAAGTATTTACATATAAGCTGTAAATGAGCTTTAAAACAATTCCTCACTGACTTCAGTAGCTGAGGACACTGTGGAGTGATGCATTCTCAATATTCAAGGAAAAACCATTTAAGGTGAGTTCTATATACGATTTTTCACACTGTGTGTTACTGCTGAGAGAAGGAGCAGTGTGAGCCAAATAACTGCTGAGAAACTCTCTAGACCTGATTTTAATGCCTTTGCCATAAACTTTGAAGACAAATTGCTTCACAGTGGTCACAGCTACACATTTCATTACTGGCTTTATTTACAGTACTGCTTGTTAAGAATGTATAAATACTTATATGTCCTCACTCTGGTCCGAGATTCACTTTAACCTCCAATAGAAGGTAAAAAGCTAAAACAATCGTAATGCCTGAAATTAGACTTTCCTCAGTGAATCACATGTTAAAATTGCAAGAATGCCTTAATAATGCATAAAATGCTTCCTTTAAAAGACTCTAGTCTCAGTGCTGAAACTTTCTCCTTTTTGATGAATAAAACATTATCAGATATGATAATACCTGAACTACCACATTTATTATTCCTGCAAAAGTTTCTTTGACACGTGTTGTCAAAAACGCCTGTAAACAAGGGTTCTGAATGCAAAGTTGGCACAAGGGCAACAAAAAAGTGATTTTCTTGGCCCCGCCTCATATCCTAATATGAGGAATAAACCCTTTGTTTTTTGGTTTGTAATTTTATTTATTACAATACTAAATTTACATTCACATTAGTAAAGCAAGTGAAACTTGCCAATACCTTGTGTTACCTTAAGGCTTCACTATGTTTAATACCTGTTGTCAAATAAATACCAGTTGTCTTTTCATGAATAAAGAAAGCAATCAGAGCATGCTTCTACAGAGGTTTTGTGAAAGATGGGGAATTATCTCCAGCGATGAGTATCTCTAATATCAAATGTATTTGTTACTGTGTTTGGTTACTCCTACATGGCCCAGAGCTTGCTAAAACATCAATAGCTTGAATCAAGCATACCGGATGCAAAGATGAGACTCTTTTAGGTACATAAGTCATTTAAAAATGTTTATTTCAAAATGATGTAAATATGAAGTAACCAGAAATGTAATGCATATGATTTCCATAAGTGTGTTATCAAACAATAAGCAATATCTTTTCATAAATTATTGTATTATGTTGGGAACATTCCTGAAGGTATAACTAGGTATCAAACTATAAAATAAAAACACAAACAGAGAGGGCGCAAACGCCTAGTGCATTATCTTTAGCACTTTATTACAAGTTAAAAGACAAGTATGGGTTTCTATTTTTTCCCCAATTATACTTACCTAGGTGGATGCAGCATCGGTCCGATGCTGAATCTGTCTCCCGCCAGCTCTAAGGGTGAGAATTCAGCGATCACATGACCGCTGATCGCTCAGTTCTCAGAGCCGCTCCGAGCAGAGAGCGGTGACTGCCAGTCACCATTGTCTGCTCTGCGCTCACTGGAGCAATGGGCTGTGG